CGCGGAGCTGAGGGAGGCTGGAGCCCGTTTAACGATTGATAGTGGAAGGTCCGCCGGGCAGGAAGGCGAGCACCCCGCCGGCCCTGTGGAGCTGGGGCCTTTTGCAGACCCAGGGCAAGATTTGGGCCCCAAATCCCGATCGTGCAAATGCTGACCAGCTCTGTCCCGGCAGGGACTTTGAAAACACACGTACCGGGCGTTTGCACCATTTACTTTTGAGATGAGAGTCGAGTACAACGCACTGGAGGAGAGTAATTCGTCGCGCTGCCTTTGGGGTGCGATGGGGGCTGCCAAAGGTGAGGAAAACTCAAAAGATCCGCAAAACGCACCAGTGGCTCTCCCAAACCCTAAGTTCAGGGATGCAAAGCTGGGACTGGGGTTAAGAGAGCTGAGGACTGTTTTTTTCAGAAGCTGAAGCGGTTGGTGCTTTGGCTCCTGGAATTACCAGGGCGTTGTTGCTTTCATGTAAAGAAACGGCAAAGTTTTAGTGCTCTCTTTCGATGGCAAGCAGGCTTTCCCAGAGGATGCGCTGCCAGCCGTGTCCTGCTGGCCCCGTGCTCCCCGAGCAGATCCAACCTGCAAAATCCTTCCTTTCGGGACACCCGTTTCAACCTGCTCATTCACTAAAAAACACAGAGTGAGTCATAACTCGGTTTGTAAATCTTCACAAGCATTTCCATTTCCTAGTTTCTGGCAAAGGAAAACCTGGTGCCTTAACCCAAAGTGCTGCCTATTTTCACTTTGCCAGTGCATTTTTTTTTCCCATGGTGCTTGAACACCTGTGATGCTACAGAGGAAAACAGCGTCTTTTGGCTGGGTGTTGCGAAAATCACAGGGAAAATGCTCAGGCTAGGAAACATCAAGTGAACAGCAGCGGGGAAGAGCAGGTACAAAGGGTCCCAGGCTGAAAATGGGGTGACAGCTCGTGGCAGTGCAGGCGAGGCGCTGTGCTTACACCCCACTGGGCTCCTCTGCCATGGGGGGAATTATTCCCAGTGCACAAGAATGTGGTGGATGTCAGAATCAGGCCCGTTACCCTTAATAAGTATAGCACATACGATTAATTATTTTCTGTGTCACTCTTCTTTCAAAGCTCCAGACACTTTGCTTGACTGATGCTGCCGTTTCTGTCGCAGCTTTGACAGCACGTCTCAGCGCTGCAGCACAGCTCGGAAGAAGTTTAACTCAGAGTTAGAGGGCAGTTTCCCGATGCAGCGTTGAACACCAGAGCCAGGCTCCAAGGTGAATCCGTTCTCTCTTTGCAGAAAGAGAAGGCGCTGCTGGGGCTGGCGATGCGGCTAGGCTGAACCTGCCCCGTCCCTGGCTTTGGTGCAGGGTGGGTGCTGGATGCTGCGGCTCTGAGCTGCAAGGCTCTTCAGACGTTTTTGTGCTTGCTCTGTGGCAATGCATTGCAAGATGTGGGGCTGACATATGCTGAGTGCTGTGGAACGGATTTCCATCTTTCACCCCAGAGACGCTTGTTTTGGAGAGCACGTGTATTTTCATGCCCTGAGGAATTGTGCCCTTTCCTGGACTCCAGCCTCACGTTCTAATTTTTTCTTTTCACAGGAGTGTGCTACCTACCAAACCAGGTCTGACCCTGGGGGTGTGGGACAG